AAAAGAATTACCAGAGCAACTCTCTGCATTCTTATTTGGACAGTATCTTCAATCTAAAAATGTACAGTAACTGTTGAAAGGTTATGGGTCAAGTTCATCAGTGCTTAGATAATGAAATAGAATAGAATATAGGCAAAATACTAGGAAATTCACAAATCCACTAATTTAAATTTTGGTGTTGGAGTATTGCTGACTACAGTAATGTTCTATATACTTAAATATAATTTAGGGTGCTCTCCTCTTTATTTGACTATATTTGAGATTTTGTAAAATATTCCCCATTTTATTCATCTTGTTATTTTTTTGTTATTATTTCTTGGCATACCATCTGACAATTGTCTTTATCCCATATTTTTTGGTTTTATTAAGTTCAAGTTAGTTAACATGTCATGTATTATTAATTTCAGGGTAGAATTTAGTGACTCATCAGTTACATATAACATCCAGTGCTCATTACATCAAGTGCCCTCCTTACTTCTCATCATTCAATTACCCTATCTCCTACATACCTCCTCTGCAGCAACCCTCAGTTTGTTCTCTATAATTAAGAGTCTTTTATGGTTTGTCTCTCTTTCTATTTTTATCCCATTTTATTTTTCCTTCCCTTCCTCTATGTTCATTTGCTTACCATATGCCATGCATTCTACTAGGCTCTGCTGATGTGGAAGTGTGTATATATACATATTATCTCTGTGTGTGTGTGTGTGTGTGTGTGTGTGTGTGTGTGTATACAGTTTCCAAATTCTACTATATCTATACTGAGTGCTAATCAACAGCAAATATTAAAAATTCAATAAACATATGCCATATCAAATAAATGAATTGAAATTTTTACTGCCATACCTTCCAATTTTGACAATGGAAATTTAACAATATCAGTTTCCTACCTAATTTCTGACTCTTTCTAGTCTGACAGATGCTCTCTGTAAATTAGAGATTTAATAGATATTCTGCTGTAACACTCTTAATCTTATTTTGATTGAAACAGAGTTGTGGATGGTAAAATTAATGGGTGCTTATGGTGAGACTGTTGCCAAACAAGTAGTAAAAAGCTTCACATTTAGTTGTGCCTGGGGAAAGAATTATGACGTTCCTTAAAGTTGTAAGTTAGAAAAATACTTTGCTTATTTTGCTTCTTGTAGCACAGTGTGGACTATCAATAGATGTATCTGAGCACTTTTAATATCTCTATATTTTGATTGACATGCTTCTTGTCATTTTCAATTATCTTCTTGCCTAAACAACATATAATAGAGTTTCACCATAGATAGAGCATTTATCTTTCTTATTAGGTGATGTCTTTTTCAACACTGAAGTTGTACAGCTAGTGATATGTCATATAAGTTCATCATATTCTGGAAGACAAATATTATACAGCATATTTATTGCATAAGTTAATTTTAGGGCACTTTTGTTAGATATAAAATATAGAGAGGAAATAAAATGAAAATACAATGTGGAAAAATGTTTTGCTTAAAATGCATATTATATATGAGAAGAAGATATTTTTGCACAGTGCTGTAATTTAGTCATTAGTTTAGCCCCTTGTTTTTATCTAAAACAAGGGTTTGACATAAGCCAAATGATTATGTAAAAACTCAGTAAGCCTCAGTAATTTGTATGATCCAGTCCTCCATATTATTATCATTATTATTTTACTAAACCACAAGATGAGCTAGTTTTTTTTTTAATCCAATGGTTATAAATGGAATTGAATTTATAGATTTTTTTCTATAACTATTGAACTGGAACAAAACTAAAATATTCTCTAAACTGAGCAGTTATCTCATTCAGTTCATACATTCTTAGCATAAAATATTTTACACTATCTCTATCCATAAGATATGTTAAAAAATAGGGGCACTTGGATGGCTTAGTTGGTTAAGTGTCTGCCTTCAGCTCAGGTCATGATTCCAGCGTCTTAGGTCCTAGGTCATGATCCAGGTCAGGTCCCAGCCTACAGTTAGGCTCCCTATTCAGCCAGAGCCTGCTTCTCCTTATCCTCCTGGCTTGTGCTCTCTTTCACTATCTCTGTCACTCTCTCTCAAATAAATAAATAAAATATTTAGAAATAAACTCAGAATGGTGAAAACATTGTGAGCTTTTCCACCTTAATATAATTTATTTATAATGAGTGAATTTTTTTTCCTTTTTATTTCTGATTCACAATAGCTTTTAATTCACTAGTTACCTTTTTTTTAAATTTTTTTATTTTTTCAGTGTAACAGTATTCTACTAGTTACCTTTTAGAACGTTTTTATTTAAATTCTGATTAACTAACACAGAGTGTGACATTAGTTTCAGGTGTGGAATCTAGTGATTCATCACTTACATACAACACTCAGTGCTTATTACAAGTGCCCTCTTTAATATCCATTACCCAGTTAACCCATCCTCCCACCCACCTCACCTCCAGCAACCCTCAGTTTGTTTGCTATATTTAAGAGTCTCTTTTATGGTTTTCCTCTCTTTTTCCCCCTATGTTCATCTGTTTTGTTTCTTAAATTCAACATAGGAGTGAAATCATACAGTATTTGTCTTTCTCTGAATGATTTATTTCACTTAGCGTAATACTATCTAGCTCCATCCACATCATTGCAAATGGAAAGTTTTCACTCTTTGTGGCTGAGGAAACACACACACACACACACACACCACAGATTCTTTAACCATTCAGTTTGTTGACATTTCGACTCTTTCCATAATTTGACTATTGTTGATAATGCTGCTATAAACATTGGAATGCATTTGTTCCTTTGATTCAGTATTTTCTATCTTTTGGGTAAATACCTAGACATGCAATTGTTGGGTCATAGTGTTGTTCTGGTTTAACTTTTTGAGTAGCCTCCATACTGTTTTTCTGGAGTGGCTACTCCAGTTTATATTCCCACCAAGAGTACAAAAGCGTTCCCCTTTCTCCACATCCTCACCAACATCTGCTGTTTCCTTGTTAATTTTGGCCATTCTGACAAGTGTGCAGTAATAGTTCATTGTAGTTTTCATTTGTAGTTCCCTGATGATGAGTGATATTGACCTTCTTTCATGTTCTTTCATGTTGGCCATCGGAATGCTTTCTTTGGAAAAATGTCCATTTATGTCTTCTGTCCAATTAACTGGATTATTTGTTTTTTGGGTATTGAGTTTTATAAATTCTTTATGTATTTTGGATAATAACCTTTTATCAGATATGTCATTTGCAAATATCTTATCCCATTCAAAATGTTGACTTTTAGTTTTGTTGATTGGTTTCTTTTGTCGTGCAGCTTTTTTTCTTGATGAAGTCCAGTAGTTTATTTTTGCTTTTGTTTCCTTTGCTTCCAAAGACATACCCAGTAACAGTTGCTACAGCTGATGTCAAAGAGGTTACTGCCTGTGTTCTCTAGGATTTTGATCGTTTTAATTAATGTTTAGAATAATGATAACTTAGAATGGATTGATCTATATCTGGTAAAATGTCAGTCTTGTTACTTGAATTATGGCAGTTTTATTATTAACAGAACTTGTATTCTCTTTGGTTTGAATTCTGCTATGGTTTTTCAACAAGGAAACATTTTCCTTTCTTTAAGAAATTAGGAACTTACCACAGTAAGCCTAAGAAATGACAGTCTGTTCTATAATGATTCAATAAAACCTAATTCAATATTAGGGTTGTGTGCCTCTGAAAAATAAAATACAACTAAAAAAGTTATTGAGGGTATAGCATTTAACATTTTCTTTTCCTGAAAGAAAGGGGAAATGTGTCTTTTTTTTTTTTTTTTTTAGGAAGGACATTTGGCTGGTATAATACATTATTCTTCACTTAGGGAAAGGTAATATAAGACAATTTTTAGTTGTAAATAGGAGTTATGATTTAAGACCTGTGCTGTGTAAGGCAAAAAACATTATAGTGGTAAATGGGCACTAGCTGTTCAGGTATAGTATCCTTATGTTGTATGTGTCCCTATTACACTGCATTATTTAAAATAAAATACTTTAGGGACACCTGGGTGGCTCAGTAGGTTAAGCCTCTGCCTTCGGCTCAGGTCATGATCTCAGGGTCCTAGGATTGAGTCCTGGATTGGGCTCTCTGCTCAGCAGCGAGCTTGCCCTGCCCCCTTGCCTCTCTGCCTACTTATGATCTCTCTGTCAAATAAATAAATAAATAAAAATCTTAAAATTTTTTAAAAGTAAAATACTTTAGATATTATTGAATCAGTTTGTTATAATGAATAATTATTCTGAAAATCTGTATACATTTTTTTCTGACTATAATGCAACTACAGTTAGCTTCTCAATCATAATTAAAACTCATCTAGGTTTAATAGGATTTAGAAGTGGAAGATTTGAAGACGACTTAAAGAACTTAGTACTGAATGCTGGAACACTGGACACATTGAGTATCAATTGTTTTGCTAACACTGTTAATTGAAACTGATAACCTGTGAGAGATTCTTTTGTGCAGAACCAAGTTCAAATACTTTCCCTCAGGGTTAAATTATAGCCAGGAGAGTATCATTACACATACACATTTAATATTTTGTTCTATAGTACTATGTATTCCCATTCCAGATAGTAAAAATTCTGCCTAAAGTTTTGCATTAAATTCATATGACAAAAGTAATATACTGCTATGCTGAAAATAAATAAAAAATGATTTACAAAAAGCTACTTAGTGTTTTCCCTTAAAAAAAAAAGTAATATACACCTATTAGTATTATCTGTTAGGAGGAAAGCAGGATTTTCAAGTTGAAATAGAAAGCAAATACTATTTTCCTATAGACTAAACCCACTGTTACTGCCATTTTAATATTCTAACTAATGTCCAGCAAAAAACTAATACCCAATAGACTTCAAGATTGGTTAATGGTAAATGTTATATACATACAAGCAGTTTATACTAAACTATCTGTATACCATGGAAAACAGTAGATAACTACAAGTATGATGTTTATCTCACATATACTTATTGGTCTTTTCTTCTGCTTTGAACATTAGGAGATCCTCAAGTTAGTTTTGATTTTGTGTTTCTTCCAGCAGCACACATATTGAAATTGGAATGATATAGAGAATTATTTGCATGGTCCCTCTACAAGGCATGTATATTTATAAAACTGTCTTCATATTTATTCTTCTCATCCTTAAAGATCAGATCAAATGCCACCTTCTTTGATCTCGGGTTGAATAGTTCTCTTTTGTGCTCCAAATGCATTGTTTATGTCAGTATTTTAGTCCTTAGCATATGTGTATATCTTTCTTATTAGACCTTGAGCTCCAATCATGTATAATGTACCTTATATTTCTCACAACATCTAACACAAATCCTTTTAATAGTGGGCACTGAAAACATCTTTATGGACTTGAATTTCTGCAAATCATTTGCTGACTATTACTGCGGTATACATTCTCACTAATACACAGGCTTACAACTTATATAAAATAAATGTGAGAAGATCATTTAAATTTTCCAGTTGCTATTGGTTTTGGGAGTTTTCTAGACATCCAACTGATAAGGAGATTGGTGGCAAATTTTAGAAAGGGAGGGGGAGTGATTATGTATGAAAGGAGATACATCCCTGGGCTCAAGGGTCACATTTTACAGCCAGTTTGGAATTCTAAAACAAATACATTAAACATTAAGACATATACTCATGCAATATATTGTGGTAGTTGTTGATCTGTGCTGGAAATACTTTACCCTGTTATGTCATTTAGATTGCTTCCTTCTTTTTCTTATATGTGGTGTGTTATAAGCATACCATTTTCCCTTTGGAACAACTGGAGTGACCTCTCTTCTCAGTTTGTATAAAAAGTTAAAGGTATTTTGTAACAGCTTATAGCTCATGGAGAAAATGTGTCTTTGCATATATTTGTTTGTAGATATGACACTATGAAATAAAGACTTGCCATTTTCTTCCCAAAAATAGTATTTAGGAAAAACTGCAGTTTGGAAAAGTTATGGGCATTTTATTTTTGCCATATCTTAAATCTTTCTAAGTGTTCTGAATGAACCACTGCACTTTGGTATTTTCACCTCCCCTCTCCTAATGTATACGTGTATACATGTATTATGTATGTATACACACACAGGTATATATCTTTTACTTTTTTTTTACTTTATTCAAATATGCCATGCTAAATAAATGGTTACCTTCTATTAACTTCAGGAGAATATTTTGAACTTAACTGCTTTGTCTGACAGTGCTGAAGCTCAGGAATCATTCTTTATCTTTAGCATAATTTTAAAACCTGCCATGAATACAAGAAGGGCCGTTGAATTGCTGCCACTATGCAGTTGCACCAAAATTAAGTAAAATGATTGTCTCTCTCAAACAAATTTAGCTCAGTGGAATCCATCAAACTGTAGTCATTGTTTTCTAAGCATGCTTGGAACTCTGAATGTGCGAACGAAAGGCCAGATGGAAATGGCTTTCTCCATGGTACCAGTTGGTATGGTTTTGTGGCTTGCTTGTGCCTGTTGGCACTGTTGGCAGTTCAGCACCCTGGGAAAGGCATTGCTTTCAAACATGAGTAATTGATGGATTGTATGTAATATGCAAATGTGAATGCATAAATCTCCTGAATGACAGCTTAATTTATGTGAGCTTTTAAGAATGTGGGATTAGATTTTAATTAAATATCCTCAAAGGCACCCTGACTTTTTCCAATTTTTGGCTGCTATCTTTAGTAAGAAGTGGGGGAAGGTTTAAATCATAATTTTATGCACATTATTCACATTTCCCTAATAAGTGTTCATTGTTTAATAGAAAAATCAATGTACTTAAAGAAGAAAGACATTTATCTTTAATTATAAAAATACTACTGTTATATTACAATGTCTGCACTTTGTCATATATGATAGAGAAAATATATGTGGTTTGAAAATTTATGTCTTAAACTTTAAGCATCATTCTTAAACATAGTTCAGATAATACCATATATTTTAGTATGCCAGGTTGAACAATGGTTAACTGTAAATCACATTTTTTAGCCCATATTGTTGAAACATTAATATTGTATATGACATTCTACCTATTATTACCTTCAAAATAGCTAAAATAAAGAGTCGATGGAGATAGAGCAACCCCCTTTTGCTCTTAAATATGTAGTGTGTATAGATGTAGCTGTGTGTGTAAATAGTTATGACTTCTGTTTGAGAATAGTATTTTGAACCTTATGTAATATGCAGATTAGGATAAAAAGAGGCTACTTAAAAATCTTTTAAATTTATGAACACTTTTTCCACTTAATCTATGTGAATAGATTATAAATTAAAAACATAAATTCAATAGATATACTTAAGGTGTGCTATAAATACTGTTAATTCTTTTAAAATGTATTTGAAATTATTTATAGCTTATAGTAAATCACATTGCCCATAATTTTATATATATGTATGTATATGTGTGTATATGTATATATATATATATATATATATATATATATATATATATATATATAT